CATCTTCTGTTTCTATTGGGTTTCTATAATAAAGTTCTCTTTCCTTTTGGAAGCTGAGACACAGCGGTTGTGGATCTTTGGTGCAGAACACCAGTCACCTGCCAGAGCTGAAAGACATGGCACCTACATTTGGCACGTCTAGGTTTGCCCCGCCTGCAGCAGGAATGCAGGTCCGCAGCAAGATGGGAGCTGTTATAGAAAATGTGGAAAGCTCCCTTTCTGGACTACTTTGGGTTTGGGACCACTTGTGACCTGCCAAACGCATGTGCAAAACGATCAAAAGTCAGTATTTTTGCTGTCCTCTACGTGTGCTGGAAACTGGCACCCACATTTGGAATCCGCACTTTTTGGCTGGACCCACTATTACTTATTCAAAGATTTTTTTTTTTTTTTTATAAATAGTGCAGGTTACAAACCTGGTCCTGGCTGCATTTATGTGGTGGCATTAGACTTCCTAACGAGGAGAAATCACCACAGACGTGGAAGAAAGCAGGAGAATTCATGAGAACACTTTGCTTACTGCCGTGAAAATGACTTTTAAAACCGTAACTCACGGATGGTATTCTAGGAGAACATAACTTACCAAACCGATCTCAGAAGAGATGGAAAATCGTAGTAGGGTCCTTTAGCTACCCCATATTATTTTTTTATTTTTTATTTTTAAGATGATTTATTTATTTATTTGACACACACACACACACACACACACACACACACACAGATTACAAGTAGGCAGGCAGGCAGGCAGAGGGAGAGGGAGAAGCAGGCTTCCCGCGGAGCACGGAGCCCAATGCGGGGCTGGATCCCAGGATTCTGGGATCATGATCTGAGCCGAAGGCAGACACTCAACTGACTGAGCCACCCAGGCGCCCCAGAGCTACCCCATTTTAGCACAATGGCCGCAACAGCCTATCCACACAGTTTCACGGGAGAATGCCATTTTTCAAGTAGGTTTATAAAGCAGGTTCCATGTGGACACCTGCACGGAACAGAGCAGTTGTCTCGAGCGCGTCCCAAAGGAAACGTCGTGCACCAGAATTCAGAAAGACGTGAAAAGAATCATGCACCCAACTGAGTGGATTTTTCCCCAGATCCTGGGGTTGCTTCCTTATTAGGAATCCTATATCATATCTTCTTCATAGATCTAAAGAGGAAAATAACCTAACGATCTCCACAGACTTAGAAAAGAACGTTTGACAGAATCCAACAACTACTCTTGACGAGATTAACATGGAAATCAGTGGAAACTCCTGGTAAGTTCCCTAGCATAGTGAAATACATCAACCCCGACCTGAGAGCCAGCTGTGTAGGGAAGCCCTGGACACATTTCTGTGACAGGCAAACACAGACAGGGCTGTCCTGTCAACGCCGTGATCCAACACTGTCCGGCAGGCGCCTGCACCACGAGACAAGAGCAGGGTGTCTCAGGAGCAAACTTAGAAGAAAAGGTGACAGCTGTTTGCAGAGGACCATCTCAAATACCCAGAAAGTCTAATCCGATCGACCGGAAACTACCGTAGTCGGCGAGGTGACTCAACAAGGAGCCAAACGAACACACAAAAATCAACAATGTGTCGTGTACACATCAAACCCGGTCAGACGGCAAAACGGAAGGTCCCGAAAACACGGTGGAACCCAGGCCCCAACGCAGCAGGACTGCGCGGGAAAGCGTGCACCCCGCGGGCCCTGCTGGGGGGCTGGAGGCTGGGCAGGGAGACACGGCTGTAAGGATGACCGAACTTTGCACATCAACGTCCTTCCTGGGATCCATCCCGCAGATGTCCCCACAAGACTACAACAACCCCAATACCCATCAACAGGGAACAGGCGGAACACATTTTTTGTGTCCATACAAAGTAAAACTGAACAGAATTGAACTGCACAGAACACTGCCGCTGAAGCAGCGAACGAGGGAGGCCTGTGTGCAGCGGAGGGGTTTCCGAGGGGACTGTTCATGGGAGAAAGCCAGCTGCAGAGCAGAGCGGGGCCTCGCCAGATTTGCCTGTATTTGCATAAAGCATCCCGGAGGTAACCAGGCAAGGGGGACAGGGCCGGGCAGCAAGGAGCCTTTCTGCTGTGAGCGTGGGGGAGACGTCCTGAGAAGGGGGGACACCAGGCCCCAGCGGGGGCTGTCCTGAGGGGGGCAGTGCTGGGAGGGGCCCAGGCCAGCTGAGCCCAGGACGCTGCTCTCAGGGTCAGGGATTCAGGCAGGCGGAGGAAACCCAAGGCTGTCTGCACCCCAGAGGATGAGTACACGTGTGTGTGCATGAGTGCACGTGTGATTATGTGTACGTGTGTGGCGTGTGCCCGCGTGCACTGTGTCCGGAGATGTTTTTGTGCACAAACCGGGAGCCCCACATGTCCAGAAGTGCAGGAGCTGCGGGCAGGGGACGCCCTCCAAGGCCACCAGCAGGGTCTGTGCCTCGGGATTGCAGCGGGCCCTCGGGAGCCCCAAGAAGAGGAGGCTGCGGGGTGGGGCCGTGAGCCGTGCTGTCCCCTGGAGGCACTGGCATGTCCCTGGGGAGGTCTCCCTGCCCGCCACCCAGACTGCGGCATTGCACGTACCTCCAGGAAGCGAGTGGCTACGGTCTGGTCATCTTGGCTCAGCACCAGATTGTCTACGAACATCCAGAAGAAGGGCTGCTGGCTGCCTGGCCTGGGCCTCGCGTACTGCAGGACGCGGTGGAACTGGAACAGGTACCACGCTGCGGCGGGGGGGGAAGGGTGTGTACGTGTGTGCGGGCGGTGCCCGTGAGGGGACACGGTGGGAGGGGGGAGGCTGAGGGGCTGGGGGGCCAGGGGTGACTTGGGAGGGCCACTCCGGCGTGGCTGGTCTGCTGCGGGCACCCACCTACTCCCCAGGGCAGGCCTGTCCCCGCCAGAGCGGCTGAGGCTCAAGGGCCCCGGGGTCCGTGTGGCCCCGAGTGCAGACCCCCGCCTCACCCAGGCGCCCTGCGGTTAGTAGGGGACAACGCAGGGCGAGACAAGCCCGCGGGCAAAGCGCACGTGCGTGTCCTCCCGTGCACGTGTCCACGCAGAGCACCTGCGACAGGGGCACAGAGCACAGCGGGTGGGCGCCAGGCAGCTTCCGCAGGGACGGGTCCCCCCCACCCTCGGAGGCAGCGTGGCTTCCCGCGGGTCAAACCCACCAAACCGTACTCGCTGAGTGGACAGGCTACTCGCGCGGGTGAGGCCCGAGGACAACGGCTCCTCAGAATGCGCCGCCCCTCAGGGTGCAGGAGGGTGTGGGGCTGGGAGGGCCCGGGGTGTGGGCAGACCGCCGTCTCTTACCCGGAGGGTGGTCGCAAGCGTGGCCAAGGGCGGGTGTGGAGCCGTACACAAGGTCAAATGGGCCCCATCCTTCCACCTGCGGGAGACGGCACACTGTCCTGCCTCAGGCTTTCAGGGGCCAAGCGTCCCCACCGCGGCGGGCACCTCGTGTGTCCAGGTGGGAGGCTCACGAGGAGGCTGAGCCCCCGCAGAGCCCCCCGCGGGGGCAGTGAGGCCCACCAGTCAGCCCCGCCGTGGTGGTCCTCGGTCGCCACCGGCCTCGGGGACGCGCGGAGCCCGGCCTCCGTCCTCTGAGGGGAGGCCAGCCCTCCGCAGGGCACTCAGGGTCCGAGGTGACCCCTCTGTGCCTTACAGAAGCGGCCCTGGGAAGGTTGGCAGTGACGCCCCAGGACTCACGTGGATCCTTGTGTGCCCCCGACGTGACAGCCGGCAGCCTGCAGCTAACTGCCGGGCGGCCACCTTCCCTGCCAGCCGGTCACTGCAGGCCCGTGGAAAATGATAAAACCCACCCCCACTCGTGCCTGAGCAGACAACAGAAGGATGCTCTTCAAGCACAGGTGCTCCTCTCCGGGCGGCCTGAGGGACTCCCACTAATGACAATCCCGGCCCCTGTCTTTCTACTAAAACAAACTAATGAGAGACCCAGATACCGGACCCCCGGTTTCCTAATAGCCCCTGCCCCCTTGACTGTCCCCCGAGCAGCTCAGCAAGAGCCTGCATCCTACGGTAAGCCCCCAAACCTTGCGCCCACCTCCACCCTGTTCCCCTGTGTCCCCAAAGGCTAATGTCGCTGAGCGCGCCCCTGGGGGCGTCTGGCCGCTGGGCTCTGGCCGGGCTTACAGGAGGGGTGTCTGGACAGAGGAGAGCGGGTCAGGGGCGCAAGGCGCCGAGTGCCGGCTGACGGTCCCAGACAAGCAACCCGACAGTCAGCCGCTGACCCCCCGAACCTGTCACGGTGAGGCCGAGCACAGAAAAAGACCGAGTCTAAGCGAGAACTCCCAGCTCCCCCCAGCTGCCGGCCCCTCCCCTCCAGCCCGGAACAGAAGCCCGCCGGAGTTCACTTTAAACCTCCTGGAAACCCACCGCCAGGAGCAGGCGCGGACGGCCGCTCCCCATCTCTAGGAGGGGCTGCGAGCAGTCTGGCCCTGTGTCACAGGCCTTGCGAAAGGAAGTGAGGTTGGAGGGGTGGCGTGGGGCGCTGAGTGATGCCGCGCACCCCTGATCCGGGGTTGCTGTAACAGGTGTCCCCATGGCTACTGAGAGAACACAGATTTCGAGTACTACTATCAAAAATGATGGCACACGTTGCTGGTGATCGTAGGCATCACGTGACTATCCATAATAGCGGCCACAGGCTAGCTATAGAAATCAGGTGTCCTGCCTTGCGACCGACCGCAGGCTTCACTAGGGAAGGCGGGCGTCTGGGAGCCATAGCCAGTGGGCAGGGAGAGGCCCCCGTGTAGGGGAGGCCTCATGTCACCGTCCTGTTGCACACCCAGTCTGAGGGCTTGGCCCTGGGGTCTGGGATGAGCATCGTGCGGGGGCAGGCTCCAGAAATGCCCCACAGTGGGTTGTCTACAGGGGATGGGGTGACGGCAGATGTGGGGTCTTGGATGAGGCCCATGGTAACGAAGGTTAAGGGTGTGGGGTTGGGGTGTGCCCCGCCCCGTGAAGAGACCAGCGCTGGCTTCAGGGCAGGGGAGCCCCGAGGGGGACAAGACTCTGCTGGGCTCCCCCAGGCACGGCCAGAGAGGAGGGCTAGCCCCTCGGACCATGGGCTCCCGGGCCTGATGGGGCGCAGAGCGCTGAGGCAGGGCAGAGCAGAACCCCCACACGGGCCCCTCCTTGTGACCAGCCGGCCCCAAACCCTCTGCCCACGGTTGGTGGCTCGCAGGACCAATCCTCTCTCCTGCTGGCAGAGCCCCACGGGCCAGGTCCTCCTGCCCTGGGGCCACCAGAGGAGGCTTCGCAGCCCCCTCCCACCAGCCGGGAAGGGCTCCGGGCCCAGTGGTGTCCTGCTGAGTCATCAGGGGGCACTTCCTCCAAGGCCACTGTCCCAGACAGCAGGAAACAGCCTTCGAGGGAGTCGGAACATTCCGTCGCTGCGTTCGGAGGATGCCCCCAAACAGTGACTGGCTGTTCAGTTCAAGGTTTTCTTTGAGACGACGGGCGGGGTTAAGCCCCCAGTCTGGGCAGCACCGTCCCCAGTGCTGGGACTGGCCCCCCGCATTTCAACCCCTCGGCTGGAGGTCAGGCCCACGGCTCTGCTCTGGGCTGTGGGCAGCGTGCGGGTCACGAAAACAGCCCTCCCTTCTCTCCCACTGCCTGTGGGGTGCCATCCCTGCAAGCCACACCCCCCGGCCCCCACGGGTGTCCCGCACACCTGCGCTCACCCTGGCCCCAGAGGCACACGGTACTACTCACGTCCCTCCTCACAACATCTGTGACATCGTCCAAGTGCTTCAAGTGCTTCAATCCTCCCGGGGCGGAACCACTCTCCAAGAAGCCCAAACTCACGAGCTCTGCAAGGGGAGACGGGAGGAGGGCACAGAAGGGCCAGCGTTTGAGCCCCGCAGAATGAAATGGCCAGGGACTGACCCGGAAACATGAGCAAACGCTCTCTGTTTAACCAGGTGACTGGGGCTGAGGATGAAGCTATTTGTGACGTTACACACCAAGCAAGTCAACTCCACTGAGTATTGATTTAAGTCAAGGAATTTGTTGCGAAACCAGGCCTTCCAAGCCTGTGGTGGCATATGCTCTGGGTTAGGAAATCCGCCAGGCTGCGGTCACCCAGCCAGGCTGTGGGACACGTGGGCGTGGTTGCGGGAGCCCTGGGCACCGCCTCACAGAGCCCTTGGCCTGCTGGAGGGAAGACAGTCCAGAAAGGACCTTACAAATTAGACCAAGGGATGCACCATCCGGGCAGGGTGGCCTGGGGCCATGCCTCCTGACTCCTTCGCTGGCACCCGGTTCACAGCTGGGGTGCCCGCGAGGCCACCGGGACCGTGGTGCGCAAGGCTCGCAGGGAACATTCTCCAGCTCCCGTCCCCCGTGCAGGACCCCGGTGCTCTCACTACGCCCACCTCTCCGGATGTTCCCAAAAAGGGACAGGACCCGGACCGGCTCTCTCTTCCACACGGGCACTGTTTTATACGTCTCCAGGGGATTCTCCTATTAAAAACACAGTTTTCGTGGTGACCTGGTTGCAGAGCCCATGAGGCACAAGGAAAATTCTTTCTGGTCCTGCAGAGGCATCTCCCCAACGAGGCAGACACCCCTGAACGCGCCTCCACGGCAGGCTGGCCCTGCCCTGCCCACGTGGCCCCCCAGGCTGAGGTCTGCAGCCCGGACCCCCACCGGGTCATCTCGAGCAGGGGAAAGGCAAGAGCGAGGGGCTTTTCCTGATCGTGGAGGAAGACAATTCTATCCGAGAGGAAGCACTTCCTCTGGATTTCTTGGGGGATCCTGAACAGGTACAGCAGTGGGATTCCCCGACTCCTCTCCTTCCCTGTGTGGGCTCTCGGCGTGGTCCCTGAGCCACCTGGCAGCCCTGAGAGCTCCCAGCTGAGGACAAAGGACCAGAGAGCCAGTGGAGGACACGCACCCACAACCTTCCAGGACCCCTGCTTGTGAATCCAAGAGGATGCACTTGGGGGTGCCTGGCCTCCCACAAACAGGGCATCAAGCCACCACCTGGCCGGGAGCAGGCCTGAGCAGGAGCCCCAGAGCCACATGGGGAAGGCTCTGCCTGTGGCTGGAGCCAATGGGTGGGGGGCTGGCAAGTTCAGAGGTGGGTGTGAGGAGGGCAGGGGGTCCAGTATGGGTGCGGCTCTGATGGACCCTGGGGGTGTCCTGGTCCCCTGCTGCAGCTGGGGAGGGTTGGGGTGGGGTGGGGAGCTCCTTCTTCCCTGCCTCCCCCACTCAGCACTGCGCCAGCATTAAAACTTCTGAATATCAACTTCATTTCCTTCCCAAGGGAAATTTCCTGCAGCGGGCCAGCATGGCATCTGTCTACACTGGGATGGATCCCACTGATGGAGTGGGCAGAAAGTTCTACTAGGATCGCATGCACCTCCTCTTCCAAAAAGCACCATAAAGGCACGTCGGCCATGGGGCATAAGCTGTCCAGGCTCCCGGCCTGTGCCAGGCACCTGGCCGGGCCCACCCCTGTGCCCAGGTGGCCAGCAAGGCGGTGCAGGGTGTTCCCAGAACTGTCGTGGCCGAGAACCCAGGTAAGGGTGCCCGGGGCCAGCACCAGGCCCCAGGAGAGAGGGGAGCCCATGGAGGTGGGAAGACACCCTAGGGTCAGCACATACCATCTCCCAGCCCACTGGTGCCCCAGCCCCGTCAGGGAGACACCAGTGAGATGCACGGCTCGGGCACATCCAGGTGGGCGGGGGGCAGCCCTCTCACCCCGCCTGCTTCCCACCACACAGCAGCCGCCCAGAAAGCCAGCTCCACGGGGACTCCTCTTCCCACATCCACAGGGTGAATCTTGCTGGGTGAGGAGAAGACTGTTCAACCTCCAGAAGGAGCTGGATGCTGGGAGGAGCTGGAGGCTGAGAGGGGAGCTGGAGGCTGAGGGGGGCTGGAGGCTGAGGGGGGCTGGAGGCTGAGGGGGAGCTGGAGGCTGAGAGGTGGAGGGGGCGCCCTGTTTTGCCGGATCTGGGTGTGGCTCCCTTGCTGTCCCTGCTTGCTCACCCAGGGTGACCACTCTTCTGTCTTAGCTTCCTGGGGCTGCCATAACACCGAATATAAACTGTGACTTAAAACCACTCATTTATTTTTACTCTGGAGGCCAGAAGTCCAAGTCCAAATGTGGCGGGTCTGGCTCCCTCTGGGGACTCTGAGGGAGGGTCCTCCTGCCTCTCCCAAGCGTCCCTATGCTGGCCAGCAGTCCTTGGGCTCCTTGGCTTGTAGACAGTCCCTCCAGCCTCTCTCCCCTGGTCACGCGGCTGGCTTCCCTCTGGGTGTCTCCATCCCTCTCTCCTCTCTGTGACACCTGTCATTGCCTTGCAGGTGCTCCCCAACCAAGCTGATCCCACCTGGAGATCCGTAGCTGAATCACAACTACCAAGACCCTACCTCCAACATCGGCCACATTCACAGGTACCAGGGGTTAGGACTTGAAGGCCATAGTTCATCCCACTTTGATGAACCCATAGCTCCTGCTTAGTTCACGGCTCCTGGCCTCCACCCTCAAGAGATCCCTCGTCCATGCCCCACGTCTGTGCCCCATCTGTGCCCCAGGTCTGGGCCCCGTCTGCCTCCCGAGTCTGTGCCCTATCTGTGCCCCGTCTGCACCCCATCTCTTCCCCAAGTCTGTGCCCCATCTGCATCCCATCTGTGCCCCAAGTCTGTGCCCCGTCTGCACCCCGTCTGTGCCCCGAGTCTGTATCCTGTCTGTGCCCCATCTGCATCCTGTCTGTGCCCCGAGTCTGCACCCCACGGTGCCCCGTCCATGTCCCGTCTGTGCCCGCTGCCTACGTCTTTGCTCCCATTTGCTGGACTTGGGGGTGCACCTCTGCTGAGCCCCACTCCCACCTGCTGCAAATGCCTCACTCCCTGGCTTGGAAGAAGCACACCTGCCAAACCATGGTAATTTTCAAAAAAACTAGACCGTCTAGTGCAGCATGCCCTCAGAGAGGAAAATGAGGCAAGCGTATTTGCTTAAAAGCCTTAGTTTCAGCATCAGCTATCAGAGCAGAGGGGCATTCTGCCACTGGCAGCAGAGAAAACTGGGGGTTAAGGCCCCTGCGCATGGCTCGTCAGTCCTGGGAGCCCAGCCCCCCTCCCCCGCCGCTGCTGCCCCCCCCCCCACCTGCCCGCCGCCCCTCACCCCTCACCGACTCGCGGTCACAGAAGGCCTTCAGCCAGCCCCGCCATTTCCTTCTCCTGTGCAGGAGCCCGCTGCGGGGGAAGGGCAGGCACAGGAAACACACCCAGTTGCTCATGGCCTGAACTTTCCCCGAGGTCCCGGGGCCGACCAGCGTGTCCACACACTCGAAGCAGTAGCATCTGGAGTCAAGCAGAGTCCCAGTCACGGAAGTGGCCTCCCAAAGGCCACCAGGCAGCGGGGAGCGATGGAAGCCACCCTCAGGCTCATGGGGAAAGACTCACCCCGCACGCACGGGGCAGGGAGGAGGGTGAGCTGTCCCCCGGGAAGGGGGACCAGTCCCTCCTAGGGACCTAGAGCAGCACGAGGGAGCCATCTGCAGAAGACAGCGAGGTGGGGGGTGATTAGCGGGCAAAGACAGATTCCACGGAATCCACTAAGCCTCCGGTCTGCCCCACCTGCAGAGCCTACGAGAAGTTAGGGTCTCCCAGGGAACCCAAGGGCACAGACACCCGCTGGGGGGCAGGTCTGGGGAGCAGGGAGACGGAAGTACAATGATGGCCCAGAGAGAGGGAGCGGGGAGGACCCCAGGTGGAGCCTGGCCTTGGCCCTGACCGCAAGCCCGCGGGGAGCGGGCTTTGCGTCACCTCCCCGCTCATGACTGAGGGAGCCACATGTCTTCGCACTAACAACAATAAAGAGAAAAATCAGGAACACAAATCTTCCGACGCCTCACCTCCCACATGTCAAGGCTCAATACCAAACAAAATACTTGGGATGGAAATGGAAATCGTCTTGGGGGGAAATCCCCCCACGCTGCAGGCCAAGGAGCCCAGACGCTGGGTGAGCCCTGGATGGTGGGCAGGGGCTCCTTTGCCCATACTGCCCCTCAAGTCCCCCCCCAACCCTGCTGAGCGCCCCCCGCCCCCGCCGGGCCGGCGCCCCGGGGCTCACCGGGTGCAGTCGGGGTTTTCGCAGATGAGCAGCGTCTCTCCTGCGCAGCAGATGGAACAGTACGACTGGTACCCATCATCGTCGTACAGGAAGAGGCAGTCCAGAAACTTGTCCTTGGCGAGGGGCAGAGCCAGGATGGCACCCCCCTCTACCCCGAGGCCTCCAGCAAGCCACCCCTCAGCTCCCCGCTTACCTTGCATGGAGCACACATCCCCCCTTCAAACAGAGGGTGCTGTGTGTGCACCTGGAAGCTCCCACAGCAGATGCACATGTCTGACGCGGACGTCCGACGCGCCCCACGGGTCGTGACACCAGCAAACAGAGCAACAGACTTAGCAATGAACGTAACGGAAGAAGGGCAAGACCCGTACACGGATAACCACAGAACGTCGCAGAAAAAAATGAAAGATCTACGCAAATGGGACGGTATCACAGGATCTCCTGGGTACGGATCAGAAGACTTAGCCTGGTTACAGCGCCAGGTCTCCCCAGCGGGTCAACAGATCCCCCTCAAGATCCCAGCTGGCTTTTTTGTTTAGGGTTTTGCTTGTTTGTTTTTTGATTTTTGGTAAAAATTGATAAGCTGATCCTAAAATGCGTATGGAGGGGCGTCTGGGCGGCTCTGTTAGGTAAGTGTCTGGCTTGGGTCGGGCATGATCTCAGAGTCCTGGGACAGAGCCCCCCACCTCAGGCTCTGTGCTGGGCGTGGAGTCTCCTTCAGATTCTCTTTCTTTCTTTCTGGCCCTCCCCCCTCCCCCCCCCCCCCTCCCCCCTCCCCCCCTCCCCTACACATGCTTGTTCTCTCTCAAATAAATAAACAAATCTTTAAAAAATGCCTACGGAAATACAAGGGGTCCAGAACAGGCATATCCACAGAAAAACAAAGGAGATTCGTGGTCACCTAATGCTGAAAAGGGGAGGCAGTGGCCAGGGTGGGGTCCTGGGTCTCTTTTTGGGTGACGAAATTGCCCTAAGATTAGACTTCGGTGAAGGTTGCCTAACTCTGTGACTGTACTGGGAGATGCTGGAATGAAGCCTCGGGGGACCTGGGGTGGGTGCGGGGAGAGGAACAGGGCCCCCGCGATAGCCAGGGCCTTCTCCAGGGTCAGCGTGGGGCTGAGCAAGGCTGGCCAGAGCTGGCTGACCCTCCCCTCTCCCGGGGCCAGGGCTCACCTTCTATGTCTCTCTGGTTAACCTTGACTTCATATGCAAGAAGATCTGGAAAAGAAAACAAGAAAGAGACCGTCCCCTCTCCTGCTTTGCTCTCGTGTAAACATGGCCAAGGGTCACGGGGGTGATCTGATGTCACAGGAGCTGGGGGGCAGCGAGGGGGGGCCTCCTGCCCCTCCCCAGGCGTGTGAATATTCCAGAAGCCTGGGACCCTAGACATGGCCCAGGCCTGGGGTTGGCGTCCTAAGTGATGGACCCAGTACCCTTACCTCTGCAGGGCCTGGGGGAAGCCGGCGCTGACAGCTCGCTGGAGCCCACCAGGATGACGTCCATGCTGTGCTCTGTGTCCGGCTCCAGGACTGGGACAACCACATGGAGACCCCGCCGGGAGAAAGGGCAGGTACAGAGGGAGAAAGTGGCTAGTGGGCCTCTGCCTGGGAGCCCTGGCTCCCAGCATGGGGGATGCACCCCACCACCCAGCTTGGGTCCCACCCACCTCCTGTGGTACCACCTGCCCCTCCTGCCCCAGCATCCAGGGCCAGAAAGACCTGTGGTGAGTGCCAACCTTGCCAGGAGGCCCGGTGTGGTCCCTGTGGCAGGTCCCTCCCCGCCCAGGGCCCCTGCCACAGTGTGGGGTCCTGTGGGCTTCTCCCCACAAAGGGGAGGGCAAGGAGGCCTTAGGTGGGGTGGAGGGGCCCAGGTCTACCCACAGCTTCCGGTCCCTCCCACACCCCATGCTCTCTCCTCTCACAGTGTCCCCTAGGCCCCAGCCTGTGGTCTCCGGGGATGACACCGCAAGCACAGGAGGCCGAGGCCCGGAGAAGTAAAACGACTCACGGATTTCACAGGTGGCCTGCCAAGGCTCCTGGTCCAGCAGGTCAGAGTCTGAGCGGTCCAGGGTCTCCACACTCAGGGTCCCCCGGGGTGAGAGGGCCATGAAACCCGGACAAGGGGCTTCCCAGAAACCAGTAGGAGACGCGTGGGGTCGGAAAACTGGGGGGCCAGGGGTACAGACCCGCAGAAGAGCACTGGAGTGGGGGGTGCGCAGGGTTCCCGCGAGCTGCGTGACGTGCGGGGGCGGGAGGTGCGGGGGAGGGGCAAGGAGGCCCTCACGGGGGGGGGGGGGGGGGTGGAAGGGTGAAGGGCTCGTGCGGGGCACTCATGCGGGGTGGGGGGTTAGGGAGTCCAGCGGGGGAGGGGGGAGGAGAGCCTTCAGGATGGGTGGGGTTAAGAGCCCACTTCTATGAGGGGGTTTAGGGTGTGGGGTGAGGGGGATGCAGTAAGGGGGCACTGAGTTGGAGGCGGAGTTGGGGGGGGCTGGGGCAGGCGGGGAGATAGGGAGCTGGGCGGGGGAGGGGTGCTGGGGGCGGGGCTTAGGGGGCTCAGTGCTCTGGGCTGAGGTGGAGGCGGGGCTCCAGCAGGGGAGGGCAGGAGGTTGAGGGGTCAGGGTGAGGGAGTTCTGTGCAGGCTTAGGTAGCTGGGGGGTGGCTTCCAGAGCGGGGATGAGGAAAAAGGAGCCAGCGGGCATTTACCGCAGGTGGGATGGGCCCAGGGCCAGCAGGTGGGGGGCCAGGGCTGGAGGGGGGCACATTTAGGCCCTACTGGGGACTCCGCAGAGGCTGTGCGTGGGAGGCAGAGGACCACTTGCAGGGGCCCGGCCTCAAGACAGTTATTATGGGGCTGCGCAGATGTTGGGGAGATACCGGGGGAGGGGGTCATAACTCCCTTTCTCCCAACTTGGCTGTGGGCCCAGTGACTCCCCTGTGAAAATTGCAGAATGGGGAGGGCAGTGCTTCTGCAGTGAGGAACCTGACAGACCCCCGCCTCTGCTGGGCTACCAAGGTTGACTTCAACTGTGACAAGGAGGGCACTCCCCCTCCATGGTCTTCCTCCCGACAATCCATGAGCCCTACCTCTCTCAACCCATGAGAAAATCACCAGAAGATTCCAGTAGAGGGACACTCTGCCAGATCCTGTCCAGGAGTTCAAAAAACTGCCAAGGTCATCAAAGGCTAAGAAAGTCCAAAATGCTTCACAGCCAAGAGGAGCCCAAGGAGACCTGCCAGTGAAATGTCCCATGGGATCTTGGGACCAGGAAAGGACATTAGGGAAAATGAAGGAAATGTGCGTTCACTGTGGCTTGTTAGTTTAGGTAACAATGTATCAGTGGTGCTCTGTCCCTTGTAACAAACTGTAAATATAAAACGGTTTTGAAATTATTATTTTTTAATAACACTGTATTGTTAACTATAGTCTTATGCTGTGCATTACACTCTCACAACTTGCTTATTTTGTAACTGGAAGTTTGCGTCTTTTGACCACCTTCACCCATTTTGTCACCTGACCCCCTCATCCTCCACCTCTGGCAGCCACCACCCAGTTCTCTGTGGCTCTGAGTTCAGGGGTGTGTGTGTGTGTGTGTGTGTGTTTAGATTCCACATATAGGAGAGGTCATATGGGGAACACAATTATCACATGATGGCACTCATATGTGGAATTTAAGAAACAAAAGAGAGGAGCACAGAGGAAGGGAAGGGAAAATAAAACAAGAAGAAATCAGAGAGGGAGACAAACCATAAAAGACTCTTTATCACAGGAAACAAACTGAGGGTTGCTGGAGGGGAGGGGGCTGGTGGGAGGGGGTAACTGGGTGATGGGCATTAAGGAGGGCATGTGATGTAATGAGCGCTGGGTGTTATATGCAACTGATGAATCACTGACCTCTACCTCTGAAACTACTAATACACTATGTCGGTTAATTGAATTCAAATAAATTAAGATAAAATTTATAAAAGAGAGGTCATATGGTGTTTGTCTTTCTCTGTCTGACCTATTTCACTTAACATAATGTCCTCAAGTTCCATCCGTGTTGTTGCAAATGGCAAGATTTCCTTCTTTCTATGGTGAATAATATTCCACTGTGCACATAGACAATGTTTTCTCTATCCATTGATCCACGGACACTCAGGCTGCTTCCAGGTCTTGGCTGTAGCACATGATAATGCCGCAGTGAAGAGGGGGGTGCAGACAACTTTTTCAATCAGTGTTTTCGTTTTCTTTGGATAAATGCCCAGAAGCGGGATTGCTGGGTTGTAGGGTAGCTCTGTTTTTAACTTTTTGAGGACGCTCCATACCGTTTTCCAGAGTGGCCGCACCAGCTCGCATTCCCACCAACAGTGTGAGAGGGTTCCCCTTTCTCCGCATCCTCGCCAGCACGGCATTTCTTGTCTTTTTGATTTTAGCCATTCTGACAGGTGTGAGGTGATCTCATGGTGGTTTTGATTTGCATTTCCCTGATTAGTGATATTGAGCATCTTTTCATGTGTCTGTTGGATATCTGTAGGTCTTCTTTGGGAAAAAAAGGTACTATTGAGACCTGCTGCCCATTTTTTAAGAGGATTGTTTGTTTTATTGCTATTGAACTCTATGTGTCCTTTATATATTTTGAATATTGACACCTTATCAGATACAGAATTAACAAATTTGGAGTTTTATGGTTTCAGGTCTTAACGTTTAAGTCTTTAAGGCCATTTTGAGTTTATTTTTGTGTGTGGTATAAGAAAGTAGTCCAGTTTAATTCTTTTGCATGTCCAGTTTTCCCAACACCATGGATAAAGAGGCCACCTTTTCTCATTGTATATTCTTGGCTCCTTTGTCATAAATTAATTGGCCATGTATGCATGGGTTTATTTCTGGGCTGTCTATTTTATGTCTGTCTACTGACCTGTGTGTCTGTTTTTATGCGGCTATCACACCATTTTAACTATTACAGCTTTGTGATATGGTTTGAAATCAGGAAGTATGATGTCTCCAACTTTGTTCTTCTTCCTCAAGATTGCTTTGGCCATTTGGGGGTCCTTTGTGTTTCCATACACATTTTGGGATAGTTTGTTCTATTTCTGTGAAAAATGCCATCAGAGTTTTGCTAGGGATTGCACAGAGTCTGTAGATTGTTTTGGGTAATGTGGATATTATAACAATATTAGTTACATGAGCACAGGATATTTAAGATACTCTTCTAAATATTTAAAAATATTTATTCTAAAATTTTTTATTTTTAATTTTTTAAAGATTTATTTATTTATTTTAGAGAGAGCGAGAGCATGAGCAGGAGGGGCAGAGGGAGAAGGAGAGAGAATCTCAAGCAGACTCCCTGCTGAGTGCGAGCCCGACACGGGGCTCGATCTCACCACCCTGAGATCATGACCTGAGCTGGAACCAAGAGTCAGATGCCTAACCGACTGTGCCATCCAGGCACCCCCATTTTTTTTAAATTTTAAATTTAATTTTTTTGGGCGCCTGGGTGGCTCAGTTGGTTAAGCGACTGCCTTCGGCCCGGGTCATGATCCTGGAGTCCCGGGATCGAGTCCCACATCGGGCTCCCTGCTCAGCAGGGAGTCTGCTTCTCCCTCTGACCCTCTTCCCTCTCGTGCTCTCTATCTCCCATTCTCTCTCTCTCAAATAAATAAATAAAATCTTTAAAAAAATAAATAAATTTAATTTTTTTTTAGTGAAAACTGTCTTTGTTGCTTTCTCCTCCTCTTATTTACCTTAGTTTTGTTTTTTAACAAGGACACCAGAGTGAAAATCATCACAGGGACCGGGAGCGATTGGGGCCGCCTGACCCCCGCATCACTCCTGAACCCCCGGCCCATCTGCATTGTTCTGGAGTCTGGAGGATGCCAGACTCCCTGGGGGGCTCCAGGGGCTGTTCCAGCTCCACGGAAGAGACGGTGTTCTCATTGTTGGGACCATACAGCAGGAAGAGTGCCTGGGGGACAGGAGCAGCTGGTCCTCACCATGTGGGGCAGAGGCTCACAGAAGATGCTGCACAGGGTGAGTGGACAAGCACTGGTGTGGCCCCAGGATGCACCCACGCAGGGGCCTTGCTGTCAGTTTTGGGGTCCCTGGGCACCCTGTTGCAACTGTCTAGAGGGGGGCACTGAGAGGCGCTGCCCTGGTGGTCTGGAGACAGGTCTCAGAGGAGCTGGCCTCTTGGTGACCAGCTCAGTCCCTCAGGCCACCCCCAAGATCAGACCCTGAGCTGTGCAGGCTTGCTCTGCTGGCCGCGGGTGATAGGCCTGTGGGGATCTCTGGACACCTGTTCTCACCCACGGAAACCCCAGGAAGAGCCTAAGATCACACACGTGGAGAGTCCCTTGTGGGAGCAAAGGGCAGGACCTAAAATAGGCTTTCTCCACCTCCACGGGAATTCCTGGCTGAGCCGTGGCCATGCACCCGGCATCACCCAGGCCCTGTGAGGGCCGGTTTGGAAGCTTCCAGGTGAGCCCCAGCCCCGCCCAACCCAGACCAGGACGCCTGATCTCCCTGCCCTCCCATGGCCAGGACGTCCGCGGGGCAGCCGTGGGCACAGGCCACACACACTGACAGCCTTTGCAGGAGCCCCCACAGCCTCAGAGCCACAGTGGGCATGGGATGAGGTCCCACCTGGCCCGGGGGTCACTCTCAGGTGGCTGCTAACACCCTCTTCCGGCCTGACAGGGTCACCCACAGCTCGATCCTGGGTATGAGGGGGAGGTTCAGGTGCTTTGGGGCACAAGGGCATCCTCCAGACCGCGGGTGGCCCCCAGCCCAGCTGGGGCTGGGGGTGGTCATGCGTAGCCAGAGTGGATCCCAGCCCGGTGCCAGGGCGCCAAGCAGGTTTGACACTTGTGTCCTGGGACTGGGGAGAGACAGCCCTAGCCCACGTCAGCCCTCATGCTGTCCTTCTGTGTTTCTGCAGTGGCCCCAGGAATAGCAGGAGGGGCTCGGGGTCCCACACCAGGTAACTGGAGAGAGTTCTGGGGCAAATGAAGCAGAGAGAGGGGGCCTGGCAGCCGGCGCCGTGACGCATCTCACCTGGAGAGCATGTTGGCCGGGGGCAGACGCCGGGCACCACCGCCCTGAAGCACGTTTGGGAAGTGACCGAGCACAAGT